GACCCGCCCCGCCCAAGCCCTGCACAGAGGCATTTGCTGGATAGCCTCAGGCAAAGGCTAGATTAGCACCTCCCTAGAGGACAGAAGTTCTTCCACTGCAGACACAGCTGATTCTCAATGCCAATTGGCTGGGAGGTCAATTCCTCCCAGTGATCCTACAGCAACCAAGGCATAGCTACACCAAGATTGTGCACAAAGCCCACAAGGGGGTGCACCAAGAGTGTCCACCTCAGGTAACTGGGGAGGCTGAGCCACTGGGCCCTACAGGACACCTATCACACAAAGCCTCTCTATCAACACAGGGAAGCAGCCAAAATGTGGAGACAGAGAAACAGGTCACGAATGGCAGAAATGGAGGAAAGCAAATGATTGGATATAGAGTTCAAGGCCACCTTTATAAGGTTTTTCAAGAATTTTATGGAAACCGCCGATAAATTTAATGAGTCCTCAATAAGTATAGTGAGACCATGGAGGACATGAAAAAGGACCAACTAGAAATTAAGCATACACTGACTGAAATAAAGAATAATTTACAGAGATCCAACAGCAGACAAGAGGATCCCAAGAATCAAGTCAAAGATTTGAAATACAAAGAAACAAAACCCCCTGCTGTCCGGTGGGGCCTGGGGCGGCTCCGGACCGGAGCAAGGTAACACGTAGCGCCAGGGAGTGTAGCCCAACACGTCTTGGGGTTCCCACTCTCGAGCAGCCTCCTCTACCACCCACCCACACCGCCCCCCCGGGCTGGGCGAGGGCCGCGCTGGGACCCCAAAGCTCCTGCAGCTCACAGCTTGAGTGGGGAGGGCTGGGGAGGCAGGGGTCGGCATGGGGGACCCAACCTGGGGGGCCCAACGCGGGGGACCGTGCTTGAGGAGGCTGGGGGGAGGCAGAGCTTTGATTAAAAGCCAACCCCTGAGGAGTCAGGTGAGAGAGGGCAAGCGGGGAGGGTGTCCTGGGTGCGGGGAGGGCAGGGTGGGCTCTACCAGGCAGGTCTGGGAAGTTTCAGGCTGAAAGAGAGGGCCGGAGCCCTGGCTGTGTTGCTCAATGGTTAGAGCGTCAGCCCATGGTCACCGTTCAATTCCCAGTCGGGGCATGTACCTCGGTTGCAGGTTCAGTCCCCCGCAGGTTGGGGCACATGTGGGAGGCAACTGATGTGTCCCACATCGATGTTTCTCTCTCTCCACCCCCCTCCCTTTCACTCTCTAAAAATCAGTGGAAAACTATCCTCCAGTGAGGATTAACAAATAAAGTGAAAAATAAATACAAACGCCCGGCCCACCTGGCTGTGGCTGAGCATCGACCTGTGAACCAGAAGATCACCGATTCCATTCCCGGTCAAGGGCACAGGCTCGGGCTGTGGGCTCCGTCCCCACTGTGGGGGCAGGAGGCAGCCGATCCATGATTCTCTCTCATCACTGATGTTTCCATCTCTCCGCCCTCCCTTCCTCTCTGAGATCAGTAAAAAGAAAGAGAGAGAGAAGGGCCTGAGCGCTGGGGCTCAGGGGGATGACTGGGGACCCAAAGGCAGGCCCAGGGACGTGGGGCAGCCCCGTCCAGGCCCAGAGACCAGCCCGCCCGCAGCACCCTGCTCCTCCCCAGCCAGGGTGGCTGGCAGCCCTCCCAGGCCTGCCTCTGTGGCAGGGACAGCTGGCCACACGGAGCCCTCACTGGTTTGAAGCTCCACTACCTCCTTTGTGAAACTCGTGGTAATTTTTGAACCAAGGGCCCCAACTTTCCTTTGCACAAGCCCAGGCTGGAGGTCCGAGCCCGGGACTGTCCGGCAGCCGATCCATGGGACCCGAGCCAGGGTCTGGACCCGAGCCAGGGTCTCAGACACCCAGTGACCCGCACCCCCAGAACATGCACCTACGCCCCTTGTACCGAAGATGCTGGGCCAGAGGTGGGTGGGGACAGGGGCCCGGCTCCCAGGGCAGGGCCTCCAAGGACCAGGGCTGGGTGGTGCAGTGATGGGCAGGACTTCCACGGGCTCCCCGCCACGGCTTCATCACGCTGGGGCTCAGGCAGGGAGAGGACGGTGGGGGATCGGCACCCCGATGCCCTCAGTTCCATCTCCTCAGCCAGTGCTGTCCCAGCATCCCCCAAAAGTCCCGCCACCCCCACTCCCACCTACCAAACCCTGTGCCCATCACCCCAGGTGAGCGGGTGAGTCTGAGATGAAACTGCAAGACCCAGTCCGGCACCAGGGTCCGTTGGGGTGTGGACACCGGTGGGGGCTTCCCCGTGATCCTGTCCCCAAAGCCCAGCCCCTCCCCCACCACAGCCCCTTCCTGCAGCAGCAGGGGCTCCAGCAGAGCACACTGGGGAGGCAGCATCGGCTGGCACGGCCCCAGGCCCAGGCCCCGGCGAAGCCAGGAGGCAGCCAGACCTGTCCCCACTGCCCGGCCAGCGGTGACGTACCTGGGCTTGCCACGGGAAGTCAGGCGGTGTGCGGTGGCCCTGGGCCGGGCGGGG